TTAACACTCCAGAAAGCTGTCACACAAGCCGGCCAGAGTTAGTTAAGCAGCAACAAGGGAAATCAGAAACAATTCCAAGCCCCATCAGGTATCAGCTAACATGGATGCAATACACATTGTCAAGAAACTACAACCAAAAATAAATAGAATTGGCATGCACAACAAATGAGAGAGAGAGATCCCACCAGCATCCACACCAACAACCAAGTGGGAAAGGGGGCCAATAACGCCGATATGGTAAAATCCCTTGACATAGCAATGCTATGTGTCCTGTTAAAGAAGAGATAATGTTGACAATGTAAAAAGAAAGGTCACTATGCTTTAATTTGCTGCTCAACCACGGGAATCCCTGAAGTCACAGAACAGGAGTATTGTGCTGCGTTATTAAAATAACTTACAGAGTCTTCGTCACACCCAGGAGTCTGGATGACAGAAACAGAGCTCAATGTACAATCAATTCCATTTAAAACTGATACAGGAGCAGCAGTTTCAGCTATACCTGATACTTACTACAGCCAACACAGGGATGAGCTACTCCTTCCTCTTACCAAAAAGTTACAGAGACCAGGTGACATTACCTTCGAAGTACTGGGATCCTTCAATGCAAAAATGACACCGAAGCAGACAACTATATATCAGGAAGTTTATGTCATCTGTGACCTTGCTGTGCCTTTGCTTGGCTTACTGGTCATGCAGGCACTATACTTTGCCCATCAACTGGATGAAATAACAGACCAGAAATCCTCGGAGTAGTACTACAGAATCAAATACTCACCCATCTTCTCAGGTCTTGGAAAAATGTTGGGTGAATACAAGATACGCCTAAAAGCTAATGCAGTTCCATATGCATTAACTACACCAAAACGAATACCCTTGCCACTAATGGACCAAGTAAAAACAGAACTAGCACGAATGGAAGAAATGGGAATAATCACAAAGATTGAAGAACCTACTTCTTGGTGTTCTGGGCTGGTGGTTGTGCCAAAACCCAGTGGTAAAATTAGGATGTGTTGACCTCACAGTTGAACACGTGCATGTTGAGAAAGATATATTCTTCCTTCAGTGGAACACACCTTGGCTCAACTTGCAGGAACCAAGGTCTTGACAAAATTGGATGCTGGGACAAGATTCTGGCAGATTTCTCCAGCTGTTGAATCATCCAAGCTAATAACTTTAAATCGGTATCATCCAGATGGAGTAATAAAAGTTACCTTTTGGGATCTCACCAGCTCCTGAATTCTTTCAGCTTCGGATGTCACAGATACTGGATGGCCTGGAAGGTGTTCTCTGTCATGCTGGTGCCATTTTGGGTTCTGGGACCACCAAGGCACAACATGATACAAGATTGGATACAACACTCAGAAAACTCCAAGAAGCTAGAGTTACACTTAATGAAAAGTGCACTTTTGCTAGCTCTCAGTTCATGTTTGTGGGACATTGGATCATACCACAAGGACTCCAAACAGATACAGCACAAGTTGAAGCTATTAAGGGGTTGCCAGAAGTCAAGCATGGCCCAGAATTATGCAGATTTTTAGGAATGGCCATATACTTGGGCCATTATGTGCAAAACCTGGCAACAATAACAAAACCTTTAACAGACCTTTTTAAGTGACAAGAACATAAGACTCTAGGATCTCCTACAACAATCAGCTTCTAATGAGATCAAATCAATAATTAGTTCATCCCTGATACTATCCCAATATGATCTGGCATGCGAAACACATATTGCAGCAGATGTCTCTTATGGACTTGTGGGATTTTTAAAACGTCAAAAAGCTGACCATTGGGCCCCTACTGCCTTTGTGTCAAGAGCACTTGCTCCACCTGAAACTCGATATGCAAAAATAGAAAAAGAAGCACCAGCAGTTACATGGACATGCAAATTACTTGGAACTTTCCTTGTTGGCCTGACTCTTGCTTTACATATAGATCATAAGCCACTTGCACCCCTGTTAGGAGACAAACCTCTCAAACTCCTACTGAGAACCCAGAGTTTTCACCTTAGGATGCTGAAATTCACCTACAATATTGTACACATTCCTGGAATAGAGCTATAGACAGCTGATACTCTTTCTAGGACACCATTACAGACACCACTGTTTCCAGAAGAACTCTGCCAAGAATGAATTATTGCAGTTTATGTGAACCTTACTGAAGAGGGGATACCCCTATCTGTTTCATTAGACAAGGATCCAGGAAGCTCAAGAAGTTGATCCTTTCTGTCAAAAGATAAATAAGTACTGCTTAGAAGGATGGCCTCAAGCAAGATTCAAAGACTGAGAACTGGCAAGGTACTAACAAGAGACACTCAACCTTCATGTTGTCAGGGATTTAGTCGTGTTCCACAACAGAGTACTGATATCTTCCGCTCTATGCCAGGAAATCCTAGAGAAGATTTATAAAGCTCATCAGGGTACTAGAAGATGTCAAGCCAGGGCTCATCAGACAGTTTGGTGACCGTCCATCAGTGATGATGATATATAGAACTGGGTAGCTAGTTGTAAGGTTTGTGCTCAACACTGACCAGACCCTGTAGAGCCATGTTTTATGACTGAATTACCAGATTATCCATGGCAGATGGTGAGTGCCAATTTACTGACCTGGAAGGGTTCTGTTTACCTTGTTGCTATCAACTATTATTTCAGTTACTCGGAGATGGCAGTTACAGACTGCAACAGAGAGGGTTATAATGGTGTTTAAGAGTATATGTGCTTGCCATGGCATATTGTCAGTTTTAAGAACAGATAATGGTCCACAATTTTCTGGAGCTGCATTTAAGCAGTGTGCAGCCCAGTATGACTTCAGCATATCACCAGCAGTCTGTATTTCCCACATAGTAATGGGGAAGCAGAATGTGCAGTGCAGACTATGAAGAATTTGCTTGAGAAAAAATAAAGATCTCTATAAGGTTCTCATAATACACCCTTCAATACCATTAGAGCATGGATGGAGTCCAGCTGAGTTGCTTCCGAGTCACTGATTCCATATAAGCCTACCAACTTTGATAGGTTGTTTCAAAACTTGTGGATGCACAGGAATTTGATGAGAAAGACAGAAATGGAATTATCAGTTTAACTGTCCTTTATAACACCAGGCATGCCTCAAGAAATGTCCCTGCTCCTTCCCCATATCAGGAAAGTTTGGATTCCAGATGCAGGAGTACAACGCACCATCCAGGCTAGGGCGAACAGCCCTTGTTCATATTGGGCGGAGACACCTAGAGGTCTTCTCCTTCAAGAAAATCGAGAGAATCTCCTTCATATTACACCTCTTTACCACATTAGGTCAGGATGTGCGTCAGTTTCACCAAATAGACTAGATTTGTGAACTTAACTGCTTGAAATGAAAAGGCTTATTGATGTTTCTGATTTGATTATTCTCTTTTTGTAGAAAAGTGAGTGGTAAAGACTCACAAGAGCGATGTGCTTGCAACCTCTCCACTCAAGATGACTTTGCAGTTCTTTGAAAATCCTTCAGGTTTTTCTTAAGAAAGGGGGATGTAGTAGTAAGCCCTTCCTGAGGGCTGACACAATTATATCAACAGGAAGTTGTCAGCCATCTTTCTGTGTGGTTTAGCAGTTGCAATAAAGTCCTTTTGAGAGCAAGAAGTCTCCCTGCCTTTTCCTGAGCTATGAGATAGCACAGGGGCAGGGATCCATTAGCTCCTCACCTGCCCCCATGCCATGACCCACAGGGCTAGGGAGGCTGCCTCAGCTCTATGACAGGAGGCACGGGGCCACTGGCTGGCCTGGAGCGGACAAGCTGGGGTGGAGGCTAGCTGACCGTGAGATGGGGGCCTCTAAGCTGCGCAGCAGAACAGGTGCGCCTGGCAGTGCAGCATGAGTGTGCCTACATAGCTGCGCATACCACAGAGCTTAAAGGGAATGCTGGATGGGGGTTAGCGGGGGGCTGCAATGTATCCTGGGATGCCAGAGAACTAAGCTCTAACCTGTGTTTGGAGGGGATCTAGGACACAAGTCTGATAACTGGTGTAATCTAAATCAGTTAATTCTGATACTACATCCATCCATCTCAAACCAGTTTGTCATTTTGATACTAGTCTACGTGCACTGAACTTCTGTTGTGTTACAGGTTTAAACCAACTTCCAATCACTTATACCAGCTCATATATATCGCTGTCCCTAGGCCAGAAGTGGCTCCCCAAAGCACCAAAACTGGATCACCTCTGAGCCTAGATAGATTGCAGTGTTGGCCTATTATGTCAGCTCAAATAAACTGGGGAGCATACTACTTCAGAACTGTATTCTGTTGGGGATGTGGGAGCTAGCCTGATGTTTATCTGCCTCAGTGGTCTCCAACCTTTTTAAGTAGGAGATCACCTTTGGCATTTAAAAGCAATCCAAGATCTACTGTGCACAGCTGCCACCACCTCCACCCAGCAGGTAAGTCTGCAGGGAAGGAAGAGAGGGGGCAGATTGAGGCAGAAAAAATTATTTGGGGTCATGCCTCCTCCGCAGGTAAGTCCCACCTGGCCAGGACCCCATTCAACTTACCCCTGCTCCTGCCTCTGCAGCACTGTCCTTCACCATGGGGGCCTTGATCTAGCATGGACTGATCTGCTGGGCTGGGACGCACGCATGCACTCAGCACCCCACCCCAGCCTCGGATCAACTCCAAGAGGCTCCAAAGATCTACTGGTGGATCGAGATCCACTGTTGATGACCACTGATCTACCTACTCTGGCCGAAGGCATAACATAGACACGTGCCCATGTATACCTTGAACTCACATATCCTCTGAGCCTGCAAGATGGGGGGAAGGTTCGAACACCTGGAAGAGAGAAGTTTCGACAGCTGGGACAGGACTAAAGTGGGGTGGTGCAGGTTCGAACAGCTGGCGGGGGGGGGAATATTCCAACAGCTGGGGAGAGGGGTCAGGGGGTGTTTCCAATCCCAGGTGACTGGGGAGGCAGGCCGGGGTGGGTTCCCGACGGCATCCGCAGGGCTCAGGAACGAGCGGCAGAGCACCCCACTCACCTCCAGGGTCTTGACCAGGACGGTCATGTAAAGCTCGGAGATGCCCAGCGACACGCCGATGACCGAGGGCAGCAGGATGAGGCCGAGCACCAGGGCAAGCCACACGGACAGCGCCGCGGTCGCCGCCGCACCCCACGCCTCCATGGCCCGGCTCTACGTCCGCTTGCAAGGGCGGTGGCTCGACTCGGCGGGGGGAGGAGGAGGAGGAGGAGCGACCTGGAGGCTGCCGAGCGCTGCCCCGCCCCCTTCGCCCGCCCGCCTAGCCCAGCCCAGCCGTGCGCAGCTGCGTGGGGCCCTCTCAGCCGTGCCTGAGGCGGCCGGCAGGAGATCCCAGGTTCCGGCTTCTTGGCTTGGTCGTAGTTAGTCGTCACGGCGTCTGCTGAAGCGAGCTTCAGGTCACAAAGCTTGTGATTACACACACATGCTATAGGGCGAAACATGTACAGATGTGCTATAGACAGAGAGGTAGGTGTATGTTTGTGTATCTACCTACCTACGACCGGTGTGTGTGTAATTAAGTGTGGAGGGGGTTAGAGGCAGCGCTCCCCTGAGTTTCCTGCTCCAAATAGGAAGAACCTACTTGCGCTGGACAGTGATCATTAGTGTGCACTTAATGCACAGGAAAGTTTTGATGGTTATCCAGATTTTGAGTGGCCACATCCTTTTCTGCCCTTTGTCTTCCTAACTTCCAGGTAGGCAAGGTTCTTTAAGTAGATGCAATATCTTTATTAGACCAAATGAGTACTTGGAAAAAAGTTATAATCAAGCTGTCGGGTGCAGTCACCCTTCCTCAGGCATAGGAGGTCTCTGCTGTTCTGAGACTCCAAGGAATGAGAGGTGCTAAAAGTGTGGCAAGATGTCAGTGAGAATGTAAATAGGTCCTTTTTCACAGACAGCCTCTTTTCTGCCTTGACAATCTACTGCTGTAGAGTCTCCCTTACTCACCTTTGGCTTTTCCCCCCCTCATTCTCCTCCCCACTTCCCTGCTCTACCTGTTTTGTTTTCCTAATTCCCACCTATTTACATTCTCACTGACATCCTGTCACCCTTTTAGCTTCTCTCATTCCTCGGAGTCTCAGAACAGCGGAGACTTCCTACGCCTGAAGAAGGGCGTTTGTGGCGGAAAGCCTCCAGAAAACTTTTTTCCAACTACTCAGTTGGTCTGATAAAAGATATCACATCTACCCAAAGAATCTTGTCTGACAAATACACACACTTCAAACACTGAGCATGACCAACAATTAAAAAGCAGCAAAAAAATCAAACAAAAATTGTAGGGTGCACTTAATACTTAAATTGGTAAGACCCAACTGACTTCCCCTATTGAAGGGGAGCTGCCAACCCTCCCCTTTTTATAGTTTAAAACTTGATATTAAGTAATAATACTTTCAAATGCAGAACAACCTCTTTATAATAAACTCCAGAATCAAGAGAAGAGTTCATGAAAAAGAGTTTATCTGTTATAATAGGGATAGTTAATTTGCTGCATCATAACACTGTAATATGGGGGAGTGGGGAAGAGAGAGAGTTTCCTTCTGCTAAGTTGTTGAAAGCTGACATTTGTTCCAAACAAGGTTTCTTAGCAGGAGATTATACTATACTTACTTTGCAACTGTTAAAATAGGAACAAACATATACATTTTGCAAAAGAGCACAGCCTTCCCTCATACTTTTTATTTCTCTAGTTAACTCAGTAGATTAAGTACTCAACTGCTAATAGTTTTAAATTTCAAAGATTAATTAACAGAATAGTGTACTAGTCACTACTGGAGCCAGGGTTTGACAGTCAAACAGACCACATGAAACATTTATCCACAAAGAGTTAGCACATTTATATTTCCTGCAATTAAGCAAGGAATGGTGCTCTTCGAAAATAGCGGTTAACGTTTACATGCCATAATTCTCACAGCAGAAAGGCAGTTTTACCACAAACTTTGTATTACTCCAACCCCACAGCCAGCTTTAGTTTTCTTTGGGATACTAATTCTCCCCTTACGTTTGCTATTAGGAGAAAAAAAGATTACGATAATAACATAATATATACACATTTGTGTATGATACCTATGACTATAATAATTCTGAATACTATTTGGCATTTCTACAGAAAAACATTTCAAAGGCACTTTATGACAATAAGGAAAGTAACATGATCTTCAGTTTAGGTAGTGAAACTGACGCAAAAAGACATAGGTAGGTGTTTTGCCCAAGGACCCAAAGTCAGGTCTCTGTGTGAACCTTAATCTCCTGAATACCCAACCCTGAGGTCCTACCCCCAAAAAGTTCCTTATTTATCCATGCTGTGGCTTTGCTGACAGAGCCATCAATAACCTGCCCAAGAAAGAGAAGGGCAGATGCTACTAACAAAATGTAAATATTTTGCTAGTGCCACTCTAGATTTAAGCACTGAGAAAGGACATTCAGAGAGCTTGACACAGTAGAAAGTGGAGAATTGTCAGCAATTCTCCCATAGGTTTTCCTAATTCCCACCTATTTACATTCTCACTGACATCCTGTCACCCTTTTAGCTTCTCTCATTCCTCGGAGTCTCTGCCGTTCGAGCGGTCAAAGAAGCGGCTGCAAAAGAGAATCCTGAGACGCCACGACAAGATGGCGCCGAGCAAAAGGGAGACCACGTGGAAGAACCGGAAGAGAAGGGTGGAGCTTCGGAGGAACCCACGAGAGTTCGGTCAACAACTCTGCCCACCGACGCAGCGTCGTTTCCGGCGACTCCGCCCACCGACGCAGCATCGCTTCCGGCAACCACGGCTTCATGCCGACGGAAGGGAGAATCGAGCGGAGGAGTGCATCCGCCCCTCCTGCCTGAAGAAATAACAGCAGCAATGACTCCCGCAGCAGTAGT